CCCAGGGGGGATGGCCACGCCGCAATCCCTTCTCCTCCATTCTCCTCTCAGGATCTTGGGCACGCACGCACACGCACCTGGCGTGAGTTTAAGCCACCGGGTCCGGGACTCGAACTGCAGTCGACTACATGGGAGTCCAGCGGCATAGCCATTACGCCAACTATTCATCCCCAGGCTTTTTTGTTTTAAATCCCAGCCTCCTCCAGGTTTTTGGACCCCGTGGCTGCATTTCTCACGGTGCTGTCACACGATGGCCGGCAGATAGGAAGCATGGCGTGTGTCAGACACTCCTCCAGCACTGCTATCAGTTTACCTAATCCATGCAGCAATTCGTGGACTGGGTGCTAATTATCCGCATTTCACAAAAGAGGAAACTGAGGCATGGAGTTGCGAAATGACTAGCCCAAAGTCACATAGCTGCTGAGCAGTGGAGCTGGGATTCGAACCCACTCTGCCACCAAGTGGTGTTGAGTGATGCCTTAGGGCTTGACCTAACCCCTCTGCTCCTCCCACAGCCCAGCCCCAGAACCACGCTGAGGCACAGGACGTCATGCTCAGCCTGGAGCCTGTGCCCGTGGCCCGCTGCGTTTCCACGGGGGGACGCCCACCCGCCCGAATCTCCTGGTTCTCACCCCTGGACGGGGAGGCCAGAGAGACCCAAGTGGCAGGGCCTGTGCCTGGCACAGTCCCCGCCCCCAGCCGCTTCACTTTGGCACCCACGGGTCAAGACAATGGTGTCAAGGTCACCTGCAAAGTGGAACACGAGAGCTTCAAGGAGCCCGCCCTGCTTCCCGTGACCCTCTCTGTGCGCTGTGAGTACACAGGAGGTGACCATGCGCCCCCCGCCCCCATACTATCTACACTGGCTTCTCTAGGGCACTGTCTTCACTGACCCTGAATGTTGTCTTCATTGGTTCCCCTGGATCAAATTCAGCACTGCCCTCCTGCCTGTTATCTACACTGGCTGCCATGGACAGCATCTATACACCTTCCCTCACAGTCTACACTGGCTCCACTAGGCTCTGGCCATGTTGTCCCCTATCAGCGATCATCTGGAATAGTTTGGCAAGAGCCACTCTAAGATGTGTCTTCCCCATTCTGCTTCCAGTGGTCTTTGGTAACTTGAAATCAACTGTGGAGGAGTATTTACACCAAGGAAATTGGCAAACACTGCAAGTCAGGGCTTGCCTTCCTTCTTCCCTCCTGAGAGTTGGGTACCAGCAGACAGCTGCCCCAGTATCTCTCCTAGCTCCATGGGCTCCAGTAGATGCTACTCCCTGGCTGTCTGGGCCATGGCTATGCCTAACTCAACAGTGTCTACATACCTTCCCACACTATCTGCATTGGCTTCCCCGAGCACTGTCTATATTGTCTCCCCTGGGGTCTCTACACCAACCCCCAAACCCCAGTATTATTTATGCAGGCCTCACGGGACCTCGTTGACTTGACGTCTCTCGACTGGCTCTACTGGCTCTTCCAGAAACTGCCTGTCTTGACACCCCTTAGTATCACCCAGCTCCCCACACCCTTCACACAGACCCTGTCAAAGGTAGTCATGCACCACCGGATGGCACTTCTGTCGCCATGGCCGGTGAACAGTGCTCCCATGTGACCACGGTCACTGTACCGTGTAGTTGAGGTGTGTGGCAGGTGACAGCTCCTGGTTGGTGTCAGTGTACTCTGTGATGTCACACAAGATCACCCCACGACACAGCGTGGCCCATCATTAAGCAACACATGACTGGATTAACCTTCCAGGCTCTTCTAATCCCTGCCTGAACTTGCCCCACACCCCGACTCAGCGATAGCTGCACTAGTTCTGCAGGCAGTGCCTCATTCACATGGATTCCTGAAGCCTGGTCTACACTGGCTCCCTAACACACCTGCACATCAGCTCTACTGGCTCCGTCAGGCCCCATCCGCACTGAAAAATAATTCCCTCAATGTGACCCATGCGCTTTCCCGGGACAGTGTCTAAACCAGCCTCGGCAGTCGCAACCTGGACTGACTGGCCCAGTTTGCCAGCCCACCCCACTTCCCTAGGGCGCCCATCTGTCCCCCTGGAATTCCCCCCTCTCTAAACCAGTGTCCCCCAATTCTCTCTAGACCCCCCAGAGGTCTCCGTCTCCGGCTATGACGACAACTGGTACCTGGGCCGAAGCGAGGCCACCCTGAACTGTGACGTTCGCAGTAACCCAGAGCCCACGGGCTATGACTGGAGCACGTGAGTCCAACTGTCCAGACCCCTGGGCCTGGTGGGGAGGGGCTGGGCCTGGACTCCTGGGCCTGGGGTGAGGGGCTGGGCCTGGACTACTGGGTCTAAGGGCGGCAGACACTGGAGGCCTAGACCGCTGGGCCTGGGGAGGAGGGGCTCGGGCTGGGGCTGGGCCCTTGGGTCCTCTACAGGGTGGAGGCTGACAGTGTGGCAGAGTTGCTTGTCAGGGGTGTCTTAGGGCCCAAGCGCCATGTCATCATGTCTGGGCCATGCCCCTTCCAATCCCGGCATCACCCTCACCAGCCCCCTCCCCCCACTCCCCAGGACGTCTGGCGTCTTCCCGGCCTCCGCAGTAGCTCAGGGGCCCCAGCTGATCATCCACTCGGTGGACAGGCTGGGCAACACCATCTTCATCTGCACCGTCACCAATGCCGTGGGCACAGGCCGCGCGGAGCAGGTCGTCCTGGTCCGAGGTAAGCAGGTCTTGGGAGCTGCATGGGAAGCCCCGGCTGTGCTGCCCCCATTGTCCTCCTGGCCGGGTTCTAGGCTGTGTTGGGGGAGGCCGTGCCGCCGACCTGAGGAGGGATTCAGATCCGCCTGGCTGGCCAGGAAGAGGGTGGTGTGGCCTGTCCCTCTTGCCCTCAGGTCAGGATCTGGACTGGGGTGACAGAGTAGGTGCTGGCAGAGGGGCTGGAGGTTGAGGCCTGTGCTGGGGTTTCCTAGAACACAGAGGCCTGGGAAGGGCTTTCCGGGGGGACCCAAGGAAGCCACCAGGGCCTCAGTTTGTGAAGGACACACACCCACAGAATCACCGCTTTGGGCCACGGGCCACACAAAATTGCCAAGAGACACACAGTACCCACCCCCACTCAGAAACAGGCCCCACGACAGGCACCCAGCCAGGCCCCGATGGAAGTGGGACAAAGACACGCTGCAGAGCCACCCACGAGGGGCCCAGAAAGTGTCAAAAATGCATGTGATGAAAAAACTACACATGGATTCAAACATTTCTATACCAAAATAAACTCATGCTTTTTTAAAAAAGAATTATTTATTGGGACCAGCAGTTAGCGTAATGGCTATGTCGCTGGACTCCCATGAAGTTGA